TGCTTATATTGTTGAAAATAGTACTAAATCCGAGGCCTGAGTAGCTTGGACCTGTACTCATTGGAGTTTGGAAGAATTAGAAAAAACCTTACTTAACATAAAAGATTCCTGGGGACTAGACAGGGTAGATGCAGAGGTTGTTTCCCCTTGTCAAAGTCTAGGACATAATCTCAGAGCATGGGGTCACCTCTTCAAAACAGAGATGAGGAGAATTTCTTTCTCTCAGAGAGTAGTCAATCTATGGAATTCTTTAGTTGAGGCTGGGTTATTAAGTGTATTGAGGGGCAAAGCAGACATTTTTTAATCAGTGAGGGAATCAAAGATTAAAGGGATAGGACAGAAAAATGGATCAGATCAGCCACAATCTCATTGATTTGTGGAACAAACTCAATAGGCTGAATCACCTACATCTTATGATAAAAAGACTAAGATTTTATAACAGTACTTTTAAAAAATAAAGTTTGAATATATCAGCTTCTATCTTAACCCCACCTATATGTTGCAATCTTTATTTTAATGTTTGTAAAAAGATTAAAAAGTTAAGGGTAAGGTGTAGTTTTTACTTCGTGGTATGAGTACAATTTTGGTCGCCCAATTTTCTGATGAAAGGTGGTTGACCTAAAAAGTTAACAGATCTTCCATAAAGTGCTTGGGGTCACAACTGTTCACTATATTTATTAATGAATTAGATGATAGGAAGATAGCCATATATCCACATTTGCCAATGTCACAAAGATAGACAATATTGTAAGTATAAAATTATGGACAAGTCTATGGATTAGGAGAATGGGCTCAACTGTGACAAATGGATTTCAATGTATGTCAATATTAGATTATTCACCTGAAGAAGAATAGACCAGTATTTCTTTATAAATAGGGAAAAGGTAGAAACATAGGAACATAGGAATTAGGAGCGGGAGTGGTTAATTCAGTCCTTTGATCCCGTTCGGCCATTTAATATGAACATGGCTGATTTTAAACACTGGACGTCTAGACAACTTTCAGAGTCTGGATGCAAAGATCATTAAAATGTCACAATGCATGCTACTAGTAATCAAAAAGGCCAAGACAATTCTGGTCTTTGTGCTTAGAGGACTAGGAGGCAGAATTCATGTTCCAATTATATATATCTATGTCTATATGTGTTTATATCTAAGCAGATCACACCTGGAACAGTGGGAACAGTTCTGGGTAGTATACCTTAACAAGACCATATTGTCTGTGGACAGAACAAAGCAAAACATTACCAGAATGATGCCTGTACACTAATGGTTAAACTATGAGGAGAGATTACAAATTCAGGTATAGTTTCTGGAATTTATGTGTAAGGGTTGATTTAATCAAAAACCAAGATGTTCAAGGGAACAGAGAAGTCAGAAAGAGATATAGTATTTCTTGAAGGGAAAGGTATTTCTATTGATTGGGAGTCCATTGTCTAAACATAAGAGTGAAATTCAGGAATAAAAGGCTGGCAGCCATTTGTAACTCTCTCCCGTAATCAAGGATTAACATAGATGAATTATTCATTAATAATCTGAGATTAGCAGATATTTATTATACTATCAAAGACAGATAGATGAAGTTAGGTCACAGGTAACCATAACCAACAGGATTTAAGAGCTAACTGGCAAACTCTGTTTCTAGTTTCCATACATAGCATGTTACAAAAAGACTGAAAAAGGAAGAGAATGCTGATTGTGTGGTTGAATGGCGACACAGTTTGGACGTAATGGAACTGATCTTAGATTTATGTCATCATATTTGTCCATATGGTCATGGGAGACATTGCAATAGACAAAAGGGTAAGACCTGTCAATAGTCAAGACATTTCAGAAGAATACTGGAAGAAGTCAGAAACTGAGGGCTCACCTTAGTGTGAAGAGGATCTGGAAGGAACAATAATACAGTGGAGAAGGATTTCCTGGAGTGTAAAAGTGATTTTTTTTTAAAACCAATATTTTGAGGAAACAACTCGACAGCAGGCTGTCCTACACTTAATTACATAATGAGAAAGGTTTAATTAACATTCATGTTGATCCACTGGGCAAGAGTGACCATAAAATGATAGAATTGTTCATTAATGTGGAGAGTGAAGAAGCTGAATCTGAAACTAGGGTCCAAAATTTAAATAAACAGATCTTTGAAGGTATGAGGTGGAAGTTGGCAATGATGGACTGAAGAACCCTCATAAAAGCATTGGCAGTGGATAGGATAATTTAAGGAACCAATGCATGAATTACAACAAATATACATTCCTATAATAAAACAAAGAACTACAGATGCTGGAAATCTGAAACAAAAACAGAAATGGCTCGAGAAACTCAACAGGTCTGGCAGCATCTGCGGAGGGAAAGCAGAGTTAACATTACAAGTCGGTGACCCTTCTTCGGATCTGTGTAAGATACGTTCCTATCTGGCCCAAAAATAAAAGAAGATGGCTTAACCATGGCTTAAAAAATAAATTAAAGATAAGATTAAATCCAAAGACAAGATGTATAAAATAGTCAGAAAAAGCAGCAAACCTGAGGACTGGGAGCAGTTTAGAATTTAGCAAAAAGATTGTTCGGGGAGGGGGTACTAAGTATGATAGTAAACTTGTAAGAAAAATACAAACTGACTATAAAACTTACAGAATTAAGAGAGGTGAAAAATATTAATAAAGACAAATGTAGGTCCCTTGCAGTCAGAAATGGGGGAACTGCAGAAGAATCTCAAATACATATTTTGGTTAGTCTTCACAAAATAGGATACAAATAATTTCCCAGAAATGTTTGGAATTAAGAATACAAGAGGAAGGAATTGAAGGAAATCAGCATTAGTAAGAAAATGGTACTGGGGAAATTCATAGTGTTAAAGGCTGCCAGATGACCAGAGCCTGGTAATTTATACCCCAGAATACTAAAGCAAGTGGCCCTAGAAATATGGACTCATTAGTAATCATCTTCCAACATAGAGTCTGGAGCAGTTCCTACAGATTAGGGGCAGCTCAATGGCTCAGTGGTTAGCACTGCTGCCTCACAGCTCTAGGGTCCTGGGTTTGATTCCACCCTCAGGCAACTGTCTGTGTGGAGTTTGCACATTCTCCCCATGTCTGTGTGGGTTTCCTCTGGGTGCTCTGGTTTCTTCCCACAGTCCAAAGATATGCAAGTTAGATTGGCCATGCTAAATTGCCCATAGTGTTCAGGGATGAGTGGGTTATAGGGGTTGGGTCTGGGTGGGATGCTCTGAGGATCAGTGTGGACTTGTTGGGCTGAAGGGCCTGTTTCCGCACTGTAGGGATTCTGTGAAACTGTAACTCCACTAATTAAAAGGGAGGGAGAGATAAAACTTTAGATCATCAGGACAGATTGGTTTGATTGGACCTGTATTCACCAGATTTTAGAAAAATGAGAGGGGATGTGATTGAAACATATAACAGGGATGGACAGACTAGATGCAGGCAGGATGGCTTCCTTGGGTGGGGCGCAGGGGTTCACAGCCTCAGGATATGGGGCAGACCAGTTAGGACTGAGATGAGGAAACATTTCTTCACTCAGAGGGTGGTCAATCTGTGAAATTTGCATGACAGAAGGCTGTGGACACTGGTCACTGAGTATATTCAAGGAAGAGATTGAAAAATGTTTTGATATTGAAGGCATTAAGGAGTATAGAGAGAAAGTGGGAATATGGTGTTGAGATAGAAGATCAGCCATTATCATAGAGTAGTGGGGTAGGCTCAAAGGGCCAAATGACCTACCCCTGCTCCTAGTTTCTATGTTCCTGTGTTTCTTAAGTAGGGGTCAGCACTTTCTCATTACTTGGTCCTTATCTGCAGCAAATGTGGCATAGACTGCCATGATACAGTGAGACTCCTAAACCACAACATGTGACAGAGTAGACCAACAAGGTGTAAACTTTGTCTCTGCAGATGCTGTTAGAACAGCTGACCATTTGTAATATTTTCTGCATTTTTATATTTTCAGCATCTGCAGCATTCCTGCTTTTATAACTGCATGGCAAGGCCTGTTTGAGACTTTTTTGCAAGATCTGGGTCAGGTGATGTAAAATGCACAAACTTTGCATTGAAGCTGCAAACAGGTGTGCAGGAAGTGCCTTGAATAGCAAATACAGAAATCGCACTGAGAAGCAGAAAATGAGAAAGAAACATGATGATGTCATGTATTATTTATGGTCAACATGTTTATAACTCCAGCTGATGTACACACCTCAATTCAAAACATAGTATTCCATAATTTGTTGCAGCTACAGGAACATAACGTAGTGAAATTATCCCCCTCTTTAAAAATATATATAATTTTCATTATATATTCATACACTTACAATGAAAGTACAGAGCATGAATGAAAGCATTGAATATTTTTGGACATCAGGGTCCTTGTATACACTGATAAAACCTTTTGTTATATCAGGGCAGTGACTTGAAAGAAATTCTGGGATTTGCATTTTAATCAATCTAAACCTGCATCTCCTTTCTAACTGATTAAAGATTTAACAAGAGGGAGTCAGCAGTCATTTTAGGTTTATTCAATACATTTGCATCAGTTGTATTATCCTTTGATCTTTTACTTATAATTTCTGTGTCTTGATACCTCCTCTCTCATAACATCTGAGGTAGGAGCAAAGCTGCGAAAGCTAGTGTTTTCAAATAAACCGGTGGGACTATAACCTGGTATAATGTGATTTCTAACCTTGCCCAACCCCGGCACCTCCACATCAGGGTTCCAGAAGGTAAGTTTCTTTGCATATTTGATTAACAGAGATTTGTTGTCCATCTCCCCCAAAGTGTAATCTGAGCATGTTTGTTAGATACTTGAGCGACTGAGTGGGAGTGACAGCATTCACTCACCCACCAATCTGCTGCAATCCGGGCCGTTCTTGCACCAAGCCGCTGCTCTCACGCAGCCAGCTCGTGCTGGAGCCAGCAGCCAATTGGATGCAACATCAACCGTGGGGTAGCCAATTAGAAAGCGCTGACTACAATCGCCGTGTGAGATGCACCAATAAGCAGCGAGCGATGTCGTAGAGGGTTTGCAGTGAAGCAGAGTCTGCAATTAGAGACGCATACACAGATTTAAGGATACAATTCAATACCGAGGCACAGACATTAATAGATACACTTAAATATACAGGTACGGGCATACGCACACAATCCGAAATGGAAAGTGGGAGGAAGCAAGTTATCAACTTCGGAGCTGGTCCTGCCAAGCTCCCGCAGCCGGTGAGTTATTCTGTGCTAGTCGTGCTAAGAATTAAACTGATTAACGCTGAGGTTGGGGTGCTAGGGAATTGAACAGAAAATTGTTTTGAGCTTGGGATGTATGTGTAGACGAATAGTCAACATCACAAGAAATGAATGGAAAGGGGTGCTTCGTATGAATTGTGCGATCGAGGTTAACGCCACAAAGATTTTGATAAGCAGCAACTGACTACAAGACAGAAGAGCAGATTGTTTTACATTGCACATTTGCATTGTGTATTATATATTGCCCATGTTTGTTATTTCCTGAAGTAAGCGATTCATTCAAATCAGATGTCTTCTTTCTGTGCCTCTTTTGAAGTATTTCCCTGGCTATTTCACTTAATGGTAAAAGTGGAGTACTTGTAAGTGCATTAATCTATCTTCTAAATGAATATTGTTTGATATCCGCCTAATAAATTCTCGCAATTTTTTTTAAACGTTTAAAGGACATATTTGATGCATATCCCTGCTGTTGAATGCATTGGCAGTAAGCTCCAAAAGAACTTTTTATATTTTCCTTTTGACCTCGCTTTTCCTGCTTCTTGGAGAAGAGCCAGTGGATCACATGCTATGGTTTTTTTTAAAAAAAATATGGATTGTTATCTTTGACTCATTCTATTTCTCATCTATATGCTCCCTCTTGGCCATCTGTTTCTGCATTTTATGTATTTAAATTGTCAGCCTGCTTGTTGACACCCAATATTTTGAATAGAAATTTGCACCAATTATGTTCCAAAGTCATTGTTTGTGATGTGAAGGCCACTGAGTTGTTGAATTTGGTTGTGACATTGCTTTGGGGAACTTTACAATGATGTCCTGGGATGAAGACATTGACAGCCATCAACCCCTCATTCTTTTCCTATGCATTGAACTCAGCTCTTTACTGTTTGTTTTTGCATAAAGGTTATAATGTAATCCTGCTAAATATAAAATTGATCATTTAAGTACTGTGAAAATACTGTGTAGAAACACAGAAGTAGGGGCAGGTTTGGGCTGTTTGGCCTTCTGCGCCTGCTCTGCCACTTAGTATGATCATTGCTGATCAGTTTTCTCCCGATACCTTTAAAATCTAAAAATATATCTATCTTAAATATGTTCAATGACTTGTCTTTTGATTTTTGCCATTTGAGAATGGACCAACAGGGTGTTAATGATTCAAGTAGAGCTTGAGTGACTTTTTGCACAGACTGTGCCTGGCAGCCTTACCCATTTTTGGGTAGATGCCTGTGTTATAGCTTGACCAGGAATGCAGTTAATCCCGGAGCACAAGTCTTCAGCATTGATAATATTCTGGCTGCAATGTCTGAAAACTCTCTTTTCCATCCAGTGTGTTCAGCTGTTTCTTGATGTCTTGTGAAGTGAATCAGATTGACTTGTATTGGTGGAGCCAAGATGATTGACTCAGTTCTTCTAGATGAAACTTGTTGCAAATGCTAATTGCAAATACTTACAAGCCGGACTGTGCCTTCTTTCAAGGTGAGGATGTTCATGGAGCTGCTGTTATTTGCCCACCAAAACTCACAACTGGATGTGGCAGGAGTGCAAAAGTTTGAATGTGTTGTAAGTGAATCTAGGAATGTAGGAACAGGACTGGGCCATTCAGATCCTTGAGCCTTTCCACCATTCATAAGACCATAAGACATGGGAGCAGAAATTAGGCCATTCGGCCCATTGACTCTGCCCTGCCATTCAATCATGGCTGATAAGTTCCTCAACCCCATTCTTCCACTTTCTCCCTGTAACCCCTGATCCCCTTGATAATCAAGAATCTATCTATCTCAGTCTTAAATGTACTCAATGACCTGGCCTCAACAGCCTTCTGTGGCAGTGAACTCCATAGATTCTCCACTCTCTGGCTGAAAAAGTTTCTCCTTATCTCCGTTCTAAAAGGCCTTCCCTTTACACTAAGGCTGTGCCCTCGGGCCCTAGTCTCTCCTACCAATGGAAGTATCTTCCCAACATCCACTCTGTCCAGGCCATTCGGTATTCTGTAAGTTTCGATTAGATCCCCCTCATCCTTCTAAACTCCAATGAGTATAGTCCCAGAGTCCTCAAACGTTCCTCATATGTTAAGCTTCTCATTCCTGGGACCATTCTTGTGAACATCCTCTGAACCCACTCCAGGGCCAGTACATTCTTCCTGAGATATGGGGCCCAAAACTGCTCACAATACTCCAAATGTAGCCTGACCAGGGCCTTAGAAAGCCTCAGTAGTACATCCCTGCTTTTATATTCAAGTCCTCTCAAAATAAATGCCAACATTGCATTTGCCTTCCTGACTACTGACTCAACCTGAAGCTTACCTTGAGGGAATCCTGGGCTAGAACTCCCAAGTCTCTTTGCACTTCTGAATTTTCTCCTCATTTAGAAAATAGTCCATGTTTTTATTCTCCATACCAAAGTACATGACCTCACATTTTCCCACATTGTACTCCATCTGCCACTTCTTTGCCCACTCCCCCAACCTGTCCAAATCCTTCTGCAGCTTCCCCACCTCCTCAGTACTACCTGTCCCTCCATCTATCTTTGTATTGTCTGCAAACTTAGCCAGAATGCCCACAGTTCCTTTATCTAAATCATTAACGTATAAAGTGGAAAGTTGTGGTCCCAACACTGACCCTTGCGGAACACCACTTGTCACCAGCTGCCATCCTGAGAAAGACCCTTTTATCCCGACTCTCTGGCTGTCTGCCAGACAGTCATCTTCTATCCATGCTAGCACCTTGCCTCTAATACCATGGGCCCTTATCTTACTCAGCAGCCTCCTGTGCAGCACCTTGTTGAAGTCCAGGTAGATAACATCCATTGGCTCTCCTTGGTCTACCCTACTTGTTACTTCCTCAAAGAATTCTAGCAGATTTGTCAGGCATGACCTCCCCTTGATGAAACCATGCTGACTTTGCCCTATTTTACCATACATTTCCAAATATTCAGAAATCTCTTCCTTCACAATGGACTCCAAAATCTTACCCCCGACCGAGGTTAGGCTAATTGGCCTGTAATTTTCTGTCTTTGGCCTTACTCCCTTTTTAAACAGGGGTGTCACGTTAGCGATTTTCTTAACTTACTCAGATCACCACTAACGCTCTCAGCTATCTCCTTTAGAACTCTGGGGTGTAGTCCATCTGGTCCAGGTAATTTATCCACCTTCAGGCCAATCCGTTTTACTAGCACCTTTTCGTTGGTGATGGCCACTATACTCAGCTCTGCCCCCGACTCTCTTGAATTTTTAGGATATTAGTGAGATCATAGCTGATCTAACTCCATATACCTGCCTTTGGTTCATATCCCTTAATTTTTATGAAGCAAAAGATTTTATCAGATTTAAAATTAACAACTGATCCTACATTCACTGCTGTTTGTGGAAGAGTTCCAAACATCTTCTACCCTTTGTATAGAAGTGCTTCCTATCATCCTTCTTGAGCAGTCTGTCCCTAATTGTCAGACTATGCTGTCTAGATGGAGAATCTACAACCAGTGGAAATATTAAATAAAACTAAAACTGTCTTATCTTGAAGGCTTCAATCAGATCACCCCTTAACCTAACATTATACACTAATATTCTGAAGGAACTGAGGGCATTGTCATCTGCAAACTTTGCAACAAAGATAGGTGGAAGGAGAGGAAGTGGGGAGGCTACAGAAGGACTTGGACAGGCTAGGAGAGTGGGCAAAGAAGTGGCAGATGGAATACAATGTGAGAAACTGAGAGATTATGCACTTTGTTAGGAAGAATAGAATCATAGACTATTTTTTCCAAGCGGGGAATGGTGTTGGAAATCTGAAGCAGAAAAGGACTCGGGAGGCCTAGTTCAGCATTATCATAAGGTTAATGAGCAGGTTCAGTTGGCAGTTAGGAAGGCAAATGCAATGTTAACATTCATTTTCAAGTGTGCAATAATACAAGAGTGGGGATAAGGCTGCATAGGCTCTGGTTAGACTGCATTTGGAATATTGTGAGCAGTTTTGGGGCCCTGTATCTGAGGGAGGATGTGCTAGAATTGGAGGGGATCCAGAGAAGACTAACAAGAATGATCCTGGGATGAAGGGCTTGTCATTTGGAGAGTGGGTGAGGACTCTGGGTCTATACTTGTTGGCCTTCTGAAGGAAGAGGGGGGTATCTGATTGAAACGTACAGAATATTGAGAGGCCTGGATAGTGTGGACTTGGAGAAGATGATTCCACTTGTAGGAGAGACTAGGATCTGAGGGCATAGCCTCCAAATTAAGGGATGATCCATGAGAACTGAGATGAAGAGGAAATTTTTCAGCCAGAAGGTGGTTAATTTGTGGAGATTATTGTTGCAGGTGCTGTGGAGGCCCAAGTCATTTGAGTGCATTTAAGACAGACCTTGATAGATTCATGATTTGGGAAGGAGAACAAGGATTACAGGGAGAAGGCAGGAGAATGGAATTGAGAAATATATTAGTCATGATTGAATAAATTCTGGAGCAGACTGCATGGGCCACATGGTCTAATTCTGCTCCTATATTTATATCTTATGGTCTTATAACCTTCTACATTCTCAACAGGCCTATTTTGTATAATCTCTCCTCATAACTTAACACCTGGAGTCCAGGTATCATTCTTGTAAACTTAAGTTGTACTATATATATCCATCCTAAGCTGTAGTGCCCAGACCTCCTGTCAGTACTACAGATTGGGGTCTAACCAGGGTTTTGTATAACTGCAGCATAATTTTTGCGTCTTTGTACTACAGTCCTCTAGATATAAAGGCCAGCATTCTATTAGCTTCCTTGATTATTTTATGCACCTGTTTGTGATGATTTAAAGGTCTATGCACCTGACCACCACGTCTCTTTGGACGTCTGCTGTATTTAACTTCATACCATCTAGAACGTATCCTGATCTTTCCTTTTCAGTCTGAAATGGATAACCTCAACTTGCTTACTCTATCTACCATAGTTTTGTTCTTTCACATAATTTATCAATATGCCTTTATAATTTTATGCAGTCATC